AGAAAAATGTGAATGAAGAGTTTTGTTGTGTTGATTATGTACGAATGGTTGCACCTCCTAGGGAAAAAGCCTCATTTGGTGTTGCCAAGAGGACCAGTGGGACAATGGGACGTGTAGGAGCTGGTCTTGACTTGCTCAGGAGCCTACTGGACTTTCTGCTGAATAGACTTTGTTCCATCACTTCTTTTTGCCTACCTTTTCTCAGCAATGAAATGACAAAACAAAAACCCCAAAACAGAACCCAAAACCCACTGTATATATTTCATAGTAATGTTACAGTAGCTAATTTGATAAATGGATTGAGCTCCTCAAATGTCAGAACTGTGTTAGATACAGAATAGTTGTAAAAGTGAAGCAAATGAAGGTCTGTTGAGATCCTGAGTGCTTGAGCCAGAACTCAAATAACTGAATTTTTTTTTCTTGCTAATCTTATTTTCAATGATTTGTCTGGTATAAATCCAAGTCATTGAGATTTACTATCACTTTATGAATAATTTTGTCCAATTATCTGTAACAGATGTTTTGTGATATTCTGCTTAACTTTCTTAACTGAATTATATTTCATTACTTTTGCTTTTATTTACACGAATTTCTTGGTATTTGTACATTGTCCTAGAAGATTTTTATGGTATACACCTATGGACTTTTGAGAACGAAAGCTAAAATTGCCAGACTTAATTGCTCAATTTTTTTCCAGTTATTTTGATCACTATGAAGTGGGTAGGGTGTGATGTTTCCTTCACTAACTCCCCCATCACAAACATCTCCCCCTTTCATGACATCCCTGGTCATTTGCCATTTTGGTTCACTATTGTTAGGCCTCTGTTCCTGTGGCTATTTGCATACAGTTTGTCAAAGTAACGGGACATGTAGGCAACTCAGACATGATCTCTGCTTATTTGAATCCACTCTGTATTCCCCTCCAGAGCTGGCTGAGGCCACGGTTCTTCACTCCTATGTCTGTGGCAGACTCTATGATGGATTGTGGCACCCTGTCCATCTGGATGAGGGTGAAGGGTCAGAATCTTTTTTTTTCTTTTTTTTTTTGGTGGGGGGTTTTGAGGGGGCTGCTCAATTGCCTTGTTTGTTTTTTGTTGAGACAGAGTCTCACTCTGTTGCCTTAGGTACAGTGCAGTGGTGTCATTGTAGCTCACAGCAACCTCTAACTCCTGGGCTGTAAGCAATCCTTCTGCCTCAGCCTCCCGGGCAGCTGGGACTA